GCTCATGCTGTTGATCACTGGTTTTTCTGGTCCAGACTTGATTATTTACAAACTGCCTCCATATAGCTGTAATATTGCTGAGTGCGGCGTAAAACTTAACTCATTCAATCAATGTACTCAGAATCAATATCTCTCTGTGTTGATATCTGAGGATTCCTCCACAGAGGTTGCATCAGGTGATTCTGTTTTTATCAGCCAATCAGCCTTCTAAATCCTTAATAAGAGAACCAAGCATTAAGCCCAGGATAGCAGAGGAGGATAGCAGCATTCCTCTATTTTGATAACTTGCTTTATCAACCATTTGGTAACAGGCTTTTGTGAATGGAGGCCATTGTATTGTTGTTGAGATATTATACAACCTGTTGTTTCTGAACTTCACTGCATCTTTACCTAAAATGGAGTACCACTTAAGGCATATTTGAGTTGTGCATGGGCTTCCTTTTGTTATAATTAAATTTTTCTGATCAGGGATAGTTTGGGATCCTGAGCATCTTCCTTTTTGATTGGGAGGTCATCTGGTATGACCTTTGTGCCTGGAGGTATTCTAATTAAAAGATCAATCTGTTTCTGATCAGACTGGGAGAAACTGTTCTCACAAAACTGTGCATTTGTTTCAGTTGTGTTTTCTAACTATCCATTCCTTTTGGCCAGAAAGGGACTTCACATACCTTGTCTGTTTTCATAGAGAAGCTTGGGGTATGGTTCATGTATCGCTGGGAGGTGCCACTGTTCACTATAGCAGTTTTCAACCCACTGGACTGCCAAAAACTATGATTTTACTTCCTTCTAGGCTCATGGGTTTCACAAAGCGGTGTTTCCTTCGCCTGTTCAATGAAGCATTAAACAGAACTCACTCACTGGTGTTTGACCTTGAACCTTGTAATCAACATCTTTTGTAATAATTACTTCAGTCCTTTACTTGTCAAAACGTCTGTTTTCAGATCCACAAGTTGCTGAAGAAGGCAACCCACAACCGTGCAGTAGCAGAGACGAAGTGCAATGAGCGATCATCTCGGAGTCACTCCGTCTTCCAGCTCAAGTTGAGAGGCAGCAATGAGTTGACAGGGGAGAACTGTTCAGGTGAGCCACAAGTTGCCATGTTACCATCTGTATTATCATAGATTATATCTCCCTATATTTGATACCCCAACATCTGTGCTTGTTGTCAGTGACGACCAATGAGGAGCAGGACCCACTGAGACTCTGCTGATAGTCTTGTAGCATTGCCTTTTGGCAGTAGCAGAGTAGACAAGTGGTTCTTGGCATACAAATGATCTTTGTATGTTAATTATCTTTTCTTCAATTTGCTGGCGCACGTTTGTCCTGGGAGTGTTCACAAGAGATCTGCTTTATTCTTCCACCAGGTATCCTGAGTCTCGTGGACCTGGCTGGCAGTGAGAGGGTCAAGGACTCAGGGTCTGAAGGTCAAAGACTGAAGGAGGCACTCGCTATCAACAAGAGTCTCAGTAACCTAGGCAACGTCATCATGGCGCTGGGCAACAAGGTATGTGCGCCGTCTCCACAAGAACCCCAGTAACTTATTCATGGCAAACGTACGCAGACAGCAACACTCTAGGCAAATCAAACAATAAGCAAACTATAGCTTTCTATATCTGGCAAGATATCTTCAGCTGGAACTCCTGATGTAGGAGAGTGGGAAGGAAGGTACATAATTATACAGGTTGATAAAGTGTGGTCACCCGAAGGTTAACATTATAGCTGAAATGTGAGCAGTGTGATGTATTTGGTGGAACTGACTGATATGTGTGATGTTTCCAGGACAACCATGTTCCGTACCGAAACAGCAAGCTGACGTACCTGCTACAGAATTCGTTGGGTGGTAACAGTAAGACACTCATGTTTGTCAACGTCTCACCAAAGGAGGAGTGTTTCCAGGAGACGTTAAACTCTCTCCGGTTTGCCACCAAGGTGAGACCATGTGTGCAGAGCAGACCTTCTTATGTTGTTGCTTTCTTTACGAGATCCAAGCCAGGGCCTTGTTTCACAAAGCTATCGTAGCACTACAACTGTCGTAAGTCTATGTTACAGTATAGGAGGTACAACAGTCGTAGCGCTACCATAGCTTTGTGAAACGGGGCCCTGATTGGCGAGGGACAGTGTCCTTTCATGTGTAGTCTCATTAAAATCAGATGGCGTTAGCCGTACGCAAAGTTTAGAAATTACCTTGCAAGTAGACTTGGCATTGAAGGGTTGGTCAGATAGTGACCGAGATGTATTGAATCAGACAAATAGATTGTTCCATAATTTTATTGCATTTACAGTGGAATAATATGTTCATAACAATTAATGTTACTTTTGGGGATGCTCAGATTGAGACAACTACAGGGTTTTACATAGACTTTGAAAAATGGGAGTCATGGCTACTCAAAGAAGAAACCTAAAAATGTTCACCGAGTTGCATTGTAGAAGTTGGGAAGTATGATACAAACAAACTCTATGGATAACATCTTCTTTGTTTCATGAGTGTGATGTTTCTGTACCTATTCTTGTACTGTTGTGCCTGCTTCACAAGGGTACGAGAATAATGTACCGATACGTTGCACTCACGAAATAAAAGAAGTTGTTATTCATAGAGTCTGTCTTTTATTGAATTTGGGTGTCATTTTCCAAATTTGTGAAAAAAATAATTCCATTATTAAATAAAACCCAGGCTGTGAAAGCACAATTTGTGATATTGTCCTGTGGTCGGTAATCTGATGCAGTGTATGGTTATTGTATATAGTGGAGGTATTTGGATTCAAGGTACACTTCTTTGACATGCACAGGAATTACATGTGGATACCATTGGTGACAATTGCGTTGATCGATGTTCATGCTGTTGATCACTGGATTGTCTGGTCCATACTGGATTATTTACAGACCGCCACCATATAGCTGGATTATTGCTGAGTGCAGCGTAAAACAAGAAACCCACCAACTAACCAACCATTGGTGATCTCCAGCTACTCTCAGACAAGTTGTTTATTTGAGAGAAATACATTTTTGGAGAAACAACTCATTTTGATAAATTTTTCTCGTCGAACAGACAAGCAGTTGTCCTTCTGTATAGTTACAGCTATTTCTGTTTGATTATTGCCTTGTACGCTCTGTGTCTCTGTCTGCAGGTGAACCAGTGCAACATTGGTACCGCCCAGAAGAAGGCCAAGTGAACACCTCTCCCTGTGAGGAGTTGTCAGTACCAAGCACCTGGTGTCCTACAGGCGGACACCAACAGTAGTGTGGCATCAGATGTCAAGGATCACTACCTCTTCTGAACAGAGTGGGCAGTGTTGAGGGACTGCTGATTATATTTATACTTCTGTGTTGGAACTCTCTCTACAGTTCATGGACAAACACAACTGTTACTTTAGGAAGGAGTTCACACACCTACACACTGTGTTGACCAGTGTCCAAGAAACAGGATAGGCACGGATATTCCTGTGATGTTGACCCAATTTTCTTGAAGTTCAAAGGGTCTCTTCATCCACATATAAACACACGTTCTGTTTGTGACGTGTTTTAGACATTCAAATACAATGACTACATTGTCAATCTTTCCATTCAAAATACTCATGATAGAGCTCAAAGTATCATCAACACCCAGTAGGTTATTGCTCATAAGTCATAAGAAACATCTCTCAAGAATATTCCTCTTCATGTTTTAACCCAGTTTGGTTTTACCTGTAAATATATTCCATGTTGTGTATTTATCTGTCCCTCATCTTGTCCTCCACATCTCGTCTGTTCTCTCTTCTGTCTCTACATGCTCTGAAAACTGCTGATTCAGTGATTCTATAATTAGCATGTATATAATAAGCTTAGCACAACTCTGTATGTGAAAGTAAGCTCACAGCTTGGAAAATCCAGTCTGCATTGGTACATCTAGAAACATGCAAACCTGAACCAAGTTCTAACTCACTTTTCAGGGATAATCATGCTAATTGGTCTGATAAATATCAATCAAATTGTTTGCCGATTGTCATGTCTTTAGTGTGTGTAGGTCTTTGTGCCATGTATTACTGTAGCACAAAGTGCATGAATGGACTGTAAAGCTGTCATATAAAACCAATTATTCATGGATTTTAGTCTCATCGTACATTTCATTGTCAAACTGTAATTACATTATTGTGATATGGTTATTTTAGGGTGGTATCTTTCTTATCATGTACATAGACAAAATACATTAAACAAAAATGTAGTTTTCTACACATTGCTTTCTTCTTCTTGTTGTTTGTTTGCTGAATCATGACTGGAAGCTGGGGTCAGGGAGCATCAGTGCCCCACACCATGGTAGAATGTATAGGGCTGTGTATTGGCAAATAAATTGTATTGCAATAAATTGCAATTCAGGTACCCATATTGCAATTTATTGGAAGCTTATGTGTTTGAGAGTATGTGCCACTAATTGAACATGTCGATCCAATTTTCTACATTCTAAGTCCCTAAAAATATATGTTATGGTTCTGATAACAGCCATCTCAAATTTAGGTTGCATAGTCAGGCATTCTATTTTCTTTTTTTTATACAATATATTACAGTATGGCATTTTGTCATTGAATAATGAAGGAAACATCTGTTGTGAATAAAAGTCTGGGTAGATTTTAATTTAAACTATAAAGATAATTACAAAAACTTCATATATGTTCTTTACCCAATATACTGGTTCTCAGAAGAAATATTGCAATATATATTGTTTGAAAACAGTAGTGCGATTTACCGATAATGCTGTGCAATCCTAATAGTGTATAGAACGTCGGCCTGGAGAGGTATGTCAATGGTTAGATCCCCAGGCCAAGTCATACCAAACGATGTCTTTGTAGTTTGATATTAAATGTTTTACTCGGCTATATGACAGCTGTGGATAGTCAAGCCTTGACAACACAATCCAGTAATTGACAATTCACAAGTCCCGCTACAAGTGCTGACAAACCAGGGAAGGTATCAGCCAAACTTTAGGGTTCAATACTAAAAGATGATTTCAATAACAACAAGATTTGAGGTTAAAGATTCACATTTTATTCACAAAATATACATCAATGCTCTGAACATGGTGTGTTGGTGTGAGATGACTACTGTAAGACATAACTGCTACAGGGCTACGATGGAGTTGCAGCAACCACTTTCACCGACTCCATCAACAAGCAAAATTATTCTACACTAGACCATACAAACTGTACTTCCTCCTACTACTCTCACTACTGTCTCATCTGGAAATTTATAAGAAAAATTATTTTACAAAATTCGATAAAAATTGAACATTTCATAAAAAAGATAACTTTAAGGATCAGTCTCTAAATTTCTAAAAGACCAATTTAAAAGATGAAATATTGGCTGTTTGCAATGGCTTGTGGAGTTTGATATGTTTGAACAGTTTTACAACACTCAACATTGATGAAGGATGACACTGTTACCATGGCCACATGTCAAAATGACACTGTTGCCATGGCTACGTAGTCAGGTATGACATGAAACATCTGTTGCTATCAGCAACATTTTGACAATGACTGACAATCACCAATGCAACAAGACAAGTAGTCACTACAACTTAGAAAGAATCTGTCCATCCTGCTCCTATGTTCTTGATCAATCGTTACCATGGTAACTATGGCAATAATGTCGCAACAGTCCCCACTTGTCTAATGCTGGAGTCAAACAAAAATTCAATGTAAGCTCAGGTGATTACTACCACTTTGTAAGGTATTATAATCTAGAGAAAAAAACACTAAAATACAAAATTTAGGATAACAGAGACATATGTTTAGTACTACCTGTATCATGTGACATGATCCACTGGGTGGTACGACTATCTCCAAATTGTTATTTGATGCTCCACACTCAGATACAAGGCCCACCATGGACGTTCCTTGTCCAGATGTATTTACTTCCTACTTGATGTCCGAGGAGCAGGTAGTTTAATTTTACACCGCTGTCAGCAGTATTCCAGCAATGTCACAGCAGGGGACACCAGAAATGTGCTTCATGCAGGAACTCTAATCCAGACTTTTCCATGATCCATCAAGATCATCAGGAATGTGGGGTGTCTGGGCTATCAGGTTTCAATGTATCAAGTGGTGGTCCCAAAATGATACTATGATATTAGATTTCATCATATTAAATTTAATACTGACTAAATGAAGAACACCTTAATGAAATCTGGAGGCTTTGCTGCATCTCATATAGTGATCCCATTAACTTACAGCAGGGCCCCTCCAGCACAGACAGACCATCATACTTCCCTGACTGAGCTGACAGGTGCTTGTGACGGTGATACAGATCTGGATATTTTAACATTTCCACGGTATATTGTGTCTTCTATAACGAACAAACAAACGTGTACACTGAGTACAAGACGGCTGACTTGGTGCATGAGGTGAGACAGCTGCATTATGTTGAAAGGATGATCCTTAGTGGGCTGCGGTCCACACTGGGTGGGTGGGGATCTTCCCAGGCCATGTGTGAATCATGGTGGACGACGATACATTCCTATCTAGATAACGTCCAGAGCAAGAGATGATGGTGATACTGCTTCCATAGGTAATTAACAAACTAAACAATCAATTGAAATTTTCTTATATTCATAGTCAGGCATCACACTTTTACAAATGATTCAATCATATTTCCTGTCTGTATATTTTAATAATTGTCAAAAAATTATGTGTAAGATGTTGCTATATGTGGACTGATTTTGGGGAACAAGCACATACCACCAGTCTGATTTCTCTCAATTAAGAACCATTTAGTCATAACACAGTCAGTCTCAAAATATTCAATCTCAAAACTGAAATCTGACCAAATTTGAAGACATCATTTTCCAAAAAGTATTAATTCCGTATAAAGCATGTATTGACAAGCCAGCTGCTACAACCTGGTATTTGAGGGGAGATAACTAGTGTGGGCATGGTACAGAGACATAATGAGGTAGATGACAAGTCATGGTGGTATTACAAGGGTGTATCTGCAGGCACATATAAACTTATGGAAATACAGGAATCACTGACAACCAGTTTATGGAGATATGAGAAGCGGATCTATATAGTGAAGCGCAAGGTGGCACACTGGATTGAGACCTCCTTCAATACCTCCTTGGTTTGTATACACCATGTTCCTGCAGCAAGCATGAACACAAGGCACCTGTGTGGTACACTTGTACATTTTTAACGAATGAATTTTGACATGGTTCCTACCAAGGCTCAGACCAATGAGCATTCAGATTACATCTACATTGCTACACAGTGCTTCAATTTCAGGCAAAAAGTTTGCACAACATTCATGCATGTGTCTCATTTGACTTCTCATACATGGACCTGTTTTATTTCCTGACTAGAACACAGTGAGTTTCTTACTTCACAACAAAGCATCCTTATTTGTGTGGAGGAACACGGTGTGCACAGACCCAGGAAGTGCTGGCCATCAACTACCACCTTCAACACAGACACTGCACTGTCACAACCTATACAGTATGGGATTCAGTTTGCTGAGATTCTGCAGTGTTCTTGGGAAAGGACATTGTGTCATTGCTGACAGTGATGACAGCTGGGATACAAAAAGTTTTCACAATGTACAGTGGTTGAGATTGTCAGTCTACGAAAAGGTCTTGTTTTCTACTTGGGAACAGAAATACTACACCGTCTGATGTGTTATAATGATACAAACTTGGACCACTAACAATACCATTAGCAATTAAAATACCAGTGATTTTGTGACACCATGTGTATGGAATGCATTATATTGGTGATATCTGAAGAAGCATGGCACACTCAATGAACAAAACCTAGAGCCAACGTTCAGATTTATTGTGATTTATAGGCCAGCATTGGGAGCGTCCAGTCTCCATTGTTGTCAGTTGAGTATTCAGTGTACTCCTTGCATGGACTGAGCACAATGCCAGAGACGTAACACTATTATGATTAGCTTGTGAGGGGGGCATACAGAAGACGTAATCAGATAAGAAATAGTCTCTGATGGAAGAAAGAGCTTATATGTTTGTAATAATCATGCCCAGAGCCATGACCATTACGTCACTGTCTTAGCAAGAACAATTTCATGCAGAGACAACTTGTACATGTTTTTGTCATCAATCCATCAGACACTATCACTAACTGTGGTTCATCCATATGATCTCAGGTTTAGTTAACCTTGCACTTCAAGATGTAGACTGAATTTGTTGGATGTCATGGACTTGCTGCTAATCATATGATGGGCAGCTTGCTTAAATTGTCTGCTACTACTGAATAACTCAGGAAGTCCACAGGTTCTCATTCCATAGCAGTAGATCTTGCCATGTGTCAGTCAGAGCCCATCAGCTACTGGTGAATCAACTCAGGAAGTCCACATGTTCTTGTTCCATGCCAGTAGATCTTGCCACGTGTAAGGCAGAGAACATTCCCACATAACTGGTAGAGTCTATCATGACATGCGTGGACAGGGTAGGTCGGAACCTAACCCTCCCTCTTCTACAGGTTCACTTCAATGGGGTCAATCAGGAGGTTCAAACTTCCTGGGAAGCTGACCAGCAGCAGTGTCTTTCTAGTAATGTCCAGTGTCTTTCTAGTAATGTCCAGTGTCTGGCTTCTGTGCTGAACACAGATCCAGGTTTGTCACTCAGACAGCTGGTATACAAGTCCATGGTGATGGCCGGAAAATCCAGCCTTGACATGCAATACCATTGGTCATTAGACATGCAATACCATTGGTCATTAGACATGCAATACCATTGGTCATTAGACATGCAAGAGTAGTTGTCACAAGATATACTGGAGTGGCTATGAGTCTTATGGACATGGCGACATGTAAATCAGCCACACATAGTGAAGAGCGGTCAATCACTGATGTTCCACAAGAAGTGTTCAATCACTGATGTTCCACAAGAAGTGTTCAATCACTGATGTTCCACAAGAAGTGTTCAATCACTGATGTTCCACAAGAAGTGTTCAATCACTGATGTTACTTGCAGTGTGTCAAGTCAAACATGTTCTTCGAAGAATGTTCAGTCAGTGATGTGCCTCGAGGGAGTTCAGTCACAGACATTCCACAAGGAGCGTGATGTTCCTTGATAAGAGTTCTGTAACTCAAGGAACATTCAATCAAAGACATTAATGAAGATTTGTTCAACCACTGATGTTCCACAAGAAGAGTTCTATCAAAGAAATTCTTCAAGACGAGTTCAGTCACAGACATTCCTCAAGGAGCGTGATGTTACTCTAGGAGATTTCAGTCACAGATGTTCCTGGAGGACTGTTCAATCATTGATGTTACTGAGGAAACAATCAGTCGCCAATGCAGAAGCATTTATGAGAATGTTTTCAAAATGTCAGGCAGTGGGACAAGTATGCTGCAAGATGAAGCACTGTGATGACATGACGTGTTACCTGTGACGACACAAAGTGTTACCTGTGACAAGATGAAGCATTAACTGTGACGATAAACAGCAACACATGAATGTAAGCGTACCTCAGCTAAGCAGGTTTCACGCCTCTACTGTGTAATTCAAACCAAATAATGAACATACTGCGGACATTCTAAACAGGTACTGTACCTCAGATCTAGAATGTTCTTGCTCAAATATAAGAACGGTTACCAGTAAATGATAGACTTAACACAAACACTAGCTGTTTTGTCTTTCAAAACAAGTGCAAGGTTAGAATTGCAAAGGATATTTTATCTATTGAAAAGTATTTATTTTTTGTCATATTATATAATGGAAAAAAATGCACACAACACTGAAAAAAACTTGATGAAGAATTATAGAGTGGTACAAAGTTTGCTGGTAATAGGATTGTGTTGATGAGAAGAACTCATTCTCTTTAGCTAGTTTGAGAGGAAGCTCATTTGAGAAAGCCAATTTGTATAAAGCTACATATGTTCACAAAATGGAAGGCTAATTATATCACTTTTTGTAATAACAACAAACAGACATCTTGAAGTTCTAGTCTTGCACCTGTCATATTTATTCCTATAGCAAAGACTGATTGAATAAATAATATACAATCAATGGGATGCTATGTTTCTGAGGCAAACAATACAAATTTCTGGCAATGGGTTTAAACAGTTAACCTTAATGCCCATATTATAGTGTCATCTCCCTCAATTTAGTTTCCATCCTGACATCATCATCATGTGACCTTGACATTTTATGGACCCTTGTCATTTGACCTTGACCCTCTGTAACCTAACATTGTTGTGACCTTGGCCTCATCACTATTAACCCTGATCGTGTCTCAAAATGACTTAGCCTTTGCTTACTGGCAACACGACCTTGTCCTCTAATGACCTGACCTTGTCACAAAATGATCCCACCTCGTCATTGATCTGGCTCCCTTCCACAAATCTATCATAGCCAAGTTGTAACACCTATAATAACTCCTGTAATGAAACCAATAATACACATGATGCCAAGATTGCTTTGAGGAAGGAAGCCAGGGAGATCTTATCATTGAGAAAACAGTTTCCTGGTGACTACCCATACCAGCAAAACAAGGGAACTATCCTAGTGACTACACAAGATGATATCAAGACAAGGAAGTACACCGAGAACTTTCCCCAAGAAGATTTGTGACAGTGCGTCGGTACATAGAGTTACATGCCCTTGTTTAGTGCTCTTTCTGGTTGTGCAGCTCCTTGCTGGTAGAGTTGGTGCGTCGGATGGAGACATTCTTACAGCCCACCAGGTGATAGAACAGGTAGGTGATGAGTGCAAACATGGCCCGGCAGCCCAGTAGGATAGATGCATTGCGAGACAGACTCCCCGTCCACAGCAGATGAAGGCCTGTAACTGTACACACAACACGTTAGTCATAACACTTGCATATAGACGCATACATGGCCTCCAGAAGGGTGCAGTTCTTACTGGATATATACAGGTGGCTATACTGGATATGTACATGACTTCCAATGGGGTTTACAAATGAGTGTGTATATGTGAGACCCTACAGAGTGTACAGATCATACAGGGTGTGTACAGGAGGCCCTACAGGGTGTACACATGAGGTCAAACAGGATTATACAGGAGGTTTTTATTGGAAAGTATAAATGGGTGTACACATGAGGTCCTATAGGGTGTTTACAGGGACCCCTATGTAGTTGTATTAATGAGTGTGTACACATGAGGTCATAAGGCCTTACAGGATGTACTCATGAAACCCTACAGAGTGTATGCATAAGGTCCTTCAGAGTGTACATGAGGCATTACAGGGTGTATCATACAAGGTTCATGCAAAATATGTTACAAGGTATATATATATATATATACCCTACATAGTGTATAAAGGATGCCCTTGAGGCTGTACAAACAGTGTCGGTATCCTACACATCAAACTAGCAGACATTTCATCACAGCAAAATATGAGAGATAACCCAAGTCTTGGTATGCCATATCTGAGATAACCCAGGTCTTGGTATGCCATATCTGAGATAACCCATATCTTGGTATGTCATATCTGAGATAACCCATATCTTGGTATGTCATATCTGAGATAACCCAGGTCTTGGTATGCCATATCTGAGATAACCCAGGTCTCGGTATACCATATCTGAGATAACCCAGGTCTTGGTATGCCATATCTGAAATAACCCAGGTCTAGGTATGCCATATCTGAGAAAACCCATGTCTTGGTATACCATATCTGAGATAACCCAGGTCTTGGTATGTGATATCTGAAATAACCCATATCTTGGTATGCCATATCTGAGATAACCCAGGCCTTGGTATGCCATATCTGAGATAACCCAGGTCTTGGTATGCCATATCTGAAATAACCCAGGTCTTGGTATGCCATATCTGAAATAACCCAGGTCTAGGTATGCCATATCTGAAATAACCCAGGTCTTGGTATGCCATATCTGAGATAACCCAGGTCTTGGTATGCCATATCTGAAATTACCCAGGTCTTGGTATGCCATATCTAAAATAGCCCATGTCTTGGTATGTCATATCTGAAATAACCCAGGTCTTGGTATGCCATATCTGAGATAATGTGAGATACCCTACTGGTTAATTGTTACATAACTGATTGTCTACACAGTATGATGTGATAGGACATGGATGGATGGGAGGTGCATGTCATCTTCAGGAACACATTCTGGTAGGGGATACCGATCAGAGGTCTCTTTTCAGAGCTGTGCAATGGTAATAGGTACTCCATGTAGTCATTTCAACATATTAATGTGATGTTATACTTAATGTAAACATTCCCAATCTAAAGGAAAATATATCTTTTCACTTGAAACCTTCAACTTCGTTGTATCAAACTGGTCAAGAATACTCAAAAAAATCATTTTTGTAGTTCCTCCAAAACTATTTTACCTAGCCTACTGTATTTGAAGTGGGGGTGTCCTACATGTACAGATGCACTCTCTTTCAAACACACACACATGTTGACACACAAACACTCTTCCGTTGATAAGAGCACTGTCTGCTGTTAACACATATTTTTTACAAGACTACAGTCTACAATCTGGTGTAAAAAACTACAAACAGAAAGACAATCTACAACCTCATCAACAAAACAGGGCAGTGAACGGCTACTTGTGGACACACAAAACCATGCAGGAAGCACACAATGGAGCACAGAGGAAAGTGAGTTATCTCCCCTTAACTGGAAGGTCCCAAACTTGGAGGCCAAAGGACATTCATGATACTGGCAATATCACAGCCCTCATACCATAGCGGTTATAGCTACTACATGCTACTGGTGAGGGGAGATTCCCCATATCGGCTACATTGTATATGCCATATAGAGGCAGGTATGAGAAGACTGTGACAGATGCCTGCTCTACTCTTCTAGTCCTTATCACCATGAAGCAGTGAGTGAGTGAGTGAGTGATGGTGACATAATACTGTAGCAGGTGATATCACAACTGATGTAGCTGTGCCTCTGTGAGTGATCAGATAACACCATGAGCTATCTAATGCTCCACAATTTGTTGTGCAGAGTTATGCCCCCTTAGACATGGCAGACTCCATTGTTTATGGGTTTGAATCTCCAATTCACCCTGTTTGTGATGGCGTGGTGTGTTAGCACCTTACCTACGATTTGGTTCCAGTGAGACGTGTCAAACCCACATGACATCCGGTTGGTCTCATATAATAAGCTTACACACAATGACATACAGATGATACTGTCCCCTGCTAACTCACTCACTCACTCACTGCGGTCAGCAGATCCTCATGTCTTGCATGGACCCAAAGGTGATGGGAAGAGTTCTAACCCATTTCTGTTGCGCGTCTTTTAATATTACCTAGTACTGAAACTGAATTATATAGTAATAGTCACACTATTTCCAGGAGGTTCTCTTTTAATATTACCTAGTACTGAAACTGAATGTTATAGTAATAGTCACAGTATTTCCAGGAGGTTCTCAGACTATCTGTACTGCAACCCAGATAGCATTCAGACGTTGGCCCAACGTTGGCAATGGTTTTGCCAACATTGCCAACATTGGGCCAACGTCCGAATGCTATCTGGGAAAGAGCTGAGCAGAAGCAGCTTCATTCCAGCATGAGACGAATATACAAAATCAGAAACCAAAATACTAGAATATAGTGAGAAACAGAAATAAGCTATCAAACTTCATCCACATAAATAAGGCGTATCTCTACCATTTTGAAACGATGTGATGGAAATGTGAACAACTCATCATGCATACAATTATGTTAGTAACCACGGTAACAGTTAAGTCCCTAGAATGGATCTAGTCCATAAATCCCACCTTCACAAAAAAACTATTTGTCATGGAATGTTCCAACAGCTAAAAAAATGGTAAAACTTGGTGAACTATTTACAAAAAACAAATACAGTTAACTTGTACTGTTATAAAGATGCAAGATCACACTTTCAAGTTTGTTAAATTCTTCAGCAGAATTCTGTAAGATGTAAAATATATGTGAATAACCCTTGCAAATACATTAGTGTGCATAGAAAAGTGAAATCCAATCATTGTTATAAGCTTGAAGTTGACATCAGAATGGATAGAAAATTAATCAGTCTCTCAGGTTGAGTTCCAGGAATGTGCCCCAAGTGTACATGATGACTTAAAGTGAGTGAGTGAGTTGGGTTTTACGCAGCTTTTAGCAATATTTCAGCAATATCACAGAGGGGAACACCAGAAATAGGCTTCACACATTGTACCCATGTGGGGAATCGAACCCGGGTCTTCGGCGTGACGAGTGAACGCTTTAACCACTAGACTACCCCGCCGCCCCGATGACTTTAAGACAGAGAAGGGAATCACTACACAGGACACGGCAGGACATTGATGTGAACACACAAGTGTGTATTGACCATTCCGTTCCCTCATCACTGAATGACAACAGGCTTGTTTCAGACTAAAATATTTTCCATTTGTGAAAAGAAATAGTTTTAAAAGAGTCTTTTTTTTTAAAAACATCTTCTATCAAAATATGGCCACACAAATGTAGAACATATACATGTGTGTAAAACGTAAGTCTGATCTTGCACCTTTAAGATTTTCTATGTAGTATAGATCCAGCCTAACCACATGCTATATACAGCTCGCTGGTGCTTAATGTGCATAATGCTGTTAACTGGTGATGTGAGATAAACTCATTTAACACCCCATGCCAGTGAACAAGAAGTGCACAGCGGAAGTCTGCAACAGAATAAATATATTGGTGAATACAGAGTTTAGGAACTGTGATGACAAGACATATCCATTACCATGGTTACATTAACCTGCAGTCACCAGGACCGAGATATATGTGTTGTCATGGTGACAGAGGAACTGCCCTGTCACCTCTTAAAGACTGATTAGTTGACTGGTTACAGCAGATCAATAACGTCACCAGTAAATAGATATGTTTGTGGTCACAATTTGAAGCGTCTCAGACAAAGCCAGACATTTTCAGTGTCTTAGTAGATCAGCGCCATCACCAACCCAAAGTGTTGTGGAACCAACCAAAGCATACTTCGAATGAACACATGCAGGGTCGAACAAAAGATCATTCAGGGTCCAAGCTGTGAAAGGGGAGATAATCTGAGAGATTGGTGTGACTTACAAACACGATTCCGTCAACGATAATAGCGGGCATCCTTTGACCTCCAGTGGTCCCTACCCATCATCCAGTAGAAATATGAGCTGAGAATTATCAATACAATTCTACAGCAGAACATCGCTATCGGAATGTAGGGCTGACTTTCACGAGCAGGAAAGGAACACGCTGAAACTGGAATGACACAAGGACGTACAGACTGACGGACATACAGAAATGACTGTCATGTCGAGACGCACAGGCAACAAGTCATAAACACTAAATGATAGGGTAGTTATTTAGTCACTACACCAGTTATCTCCCTTCTCTTTAGTGTCACCATAATTCCTGTTAAAAACTTACCTTACACTGGTCTACAGCAGTACCAACTTGACTTAACTCAGACTGGAGTGGTATTCAAAAGCCAACCTACCATTAATTGTGCAACTAAAATGAGAGACAACTTTTGAAAAATGTCGACATCAGGAGATTGGTGCTGTCAGGTAAACAGATCAGTGTCATGATTCAGTGTCATGATGTGTCAGTATGTTTAACAAAATAGTTGATGTTACTTGGGCTATGATGGAGATCCATGTTCACTGGCCAATCTAAACAAGTAAAAATTCCTGTTGACTGGCCACTGGCCTATGTAATAAAGTAATGTGAATTGTGAAAAATATTTCTTGGTGAAAAGCGAAATATTTCATTGGGCCACACTTACATCTTGTTATATAAGAGAAATCATGGTTGAAAAGTGAAAAAGAATAAATAGACACATATACATCAGCAGTAAAGTTGTTTCGTCTTCAAAATGCTTTCTAACACCAGCTGAGCCTGTTTCTTTGCAAGCTATTTTATGCAGTTTTAAGCTATTGTACATTGTTGTAAGCTATTTTAAGCTACTGTAAGCTATTTTCAGCTGTTGTAAGCTAGTTCAAGCTGTCTTAAACTATTTTATATTGTAAAGTGTTCAGCAGAAGAAAATGAATATTGTTCTTCAGATTTTTTTTCTTTTGCTTTTCCTTTTTGCGTCCTGTAAATCTGTAAATCAACCTAAACTTCATCTTATTTGATAGCTATGATCACACAGCTACTTCTATATGTTGATATTAGGAAGGAGTGAGTGAGTGAGTTAATGTTGCATTAAGCCACATCAGCAATATGGCAGCTATTCGAGGCTGATTTCAGGAAGGCAAAACGTCCATGTACGTGTTATGGAAAACAATGATCTGTTTAACTGCAGGTTTTGGAGTGCCCAAGAACTGTGCAACGGACAAAAGGCTGAACAAGTGCTGTGAAAGGGAGATAACTGTGAATTAGATTAAGATCATAAGGCCTTTTATTTTCCATAACCTGATATCTGGTTCACAAAACTGACCAACATAAGAGAGACCAAACTTGGAAAATAATAGACATGTTGTAAAAGTGTAAGTGATGTCATTTATTTGAAGGAGGAACATGTCACTTAAAACGGACGATCCCTCTAACAACTTGACAGTCATTGATGAAAACCCTCATCAACAAACACGAATTGTATCCTTGACATTCAGTCCAAATACTTGCGTGTGTGTACAAAGACGACATAATCTGATTAATACTAAGTCACTGACGTTCCTCCTCTAAACAATTTTTGTCTGTTATACTAATCATTTGATATGCTAAACTAAAAATTCACACTACATCAAATTTAGACCTAAAATCTTAAAGTGTTGATCACTGGATTATCTGGTCCAGACTTTATCATTTACAAACCGCTGCCATATAGCTGGAATATTGCTGAATGCGGTATTAAACAACAACCCAACCAACCAATCTAAAAGCAAAATATAGAAAATAAAAGGCCTAATGAAGCTCAATGTACTGACCTCAGGAGCTATGAACGGTATCACCACACCTGTATGTGGTACCAGGGTACCGCGTCCTACCATACTAGATACCTCCAACTACCAATGGGCATTTCAAGGACAGGACGTCACATTCATTCCTAACCTACGGTGTGGCTAATCTGATGACACACAGGACATTAAGATACAAGTCGTCTGTGACTGAAAGCGCCTACATTCAGGGAACCATGCAGGGTCGGGGACTGACACAGGGGATGGAGGGAGGAAAGGTGTGGGGGTGGGTGGGGGTGTCGCTTTTACCCATCATGGTTTCACATGGAACTCACGTAAAACTCACATTGAGCTCCTGTGCAACTATCTCAACAGCTCAATTAAAAAGAATCAGAGAATATATATTTCGAGAATCTAAAATATCACAACCAGACTATGTGTCTAAGAAATTACAGTGTCCTGCTCATAAATTTGCCTCTCAATGTTAGAAATCATGGCCCACTGCACAACAAGGCAAATAAAGCAGAGGAAAGTTTTCATTATGTGCAACTGAAGATTCAATGTAAACATGCATTCCAAAATATAATTCACAAAATTATTGATGAAAGTACCATATTGAACAATCTTCTCAACTGTCTACCATAAGGATGCTTTCTGTTAGTTGCGATGAGTGACAGGCAAGCGACACAGCGAGACTTACCGAGGGTTTGTAGAGAGAAGTAGATAACACTGGACAGCAGAGAGCCTCTGATGACATCTCGGTCCTGAGACTGGAGGGTGTTCCAGTGCAAGCAGGACAGACCTGGACACAACAACTCTCCATGAATGTGTGAGATGGCTCATTATGTTCACCACAGTGAGTGAGTGAGTGAGTGAGTGAGTTGGGATTTACGCCGCTTTTAGCAATATTCAAGCAATAGCACAGCGGGGGGCACCAGAAATGGGCTTCACACATTGTACCCATGTGGGGAATCAAACCCTGGCCTTCAGCGTGACAAGCGAACGCTTTAACCACAAGGCTACCCCACCGCTCCTGTTCACTATAGAGCTATGCTACCTGTTGATTGGATGTCTAAAGCAACTCTGCTATATGTTCTCCATTTACCACTAATGATTTCATTTACCATTAACGATTCCATTTACCATTAATGATTCCATTTACCATTAATGATTCCATTTACCACTAATGATTCCATTTACCATTAATGATTCCATTTACCATTAATGATTCCATTTACCACTAATGATTCCATTTACCATTAATGATTACATTTACCATTAATGATTCCATTTACCACTAATGATTCCATTTACCATTAATGATTCCATTTACCATTAATGATTCCATTTACCACTAATGATTACATTTACCATTAATGATTCCATTTACCACTAATGATTCCATTTACCACTAATGATTACATCTACCATTAATGATTACATTTACCATTAATGATTCCATTTACCACTAATGATTCCATTTACCACTAATGATTACATTTACCATTAATGATTACATTTACCATTAATAAATCGTCAACTGTCAATGTAGTCTGTCTCCTACACCCTACAGAATAAATTAAAAAAGAAGCTGAACTCAAGTCTTGAATGATTGGGCAAATCTAGATTACATATAAACTTAAGTATTTTTTTCTGGGCTCCTTTTTAATCACATTTTTTTATTATTTTAGGTACCGGTATATATTTGAAGGTAAGTCTGAGACTAAGTGTCAGTCCACTATCAATAAACTGCAGTTGTCAATGGCAACATACTACTAAACAAAGTTAAAGAATGCCCAGTCTTGTTCATATGACTGAAGTTGTTTCATCGTGGCCATTGGTGTTCTGTAATTTCTCTTGGGAAGTTCTCATCATTGTCAACAAAATATTTCCGAGTTTGGTGAGATGGGAGCCAAGGAGTATGTGAGTCAGTTTAATGCCACCTGGAACCATGTATTGTTATATAGCAGACTGTCTGGTAGATATGTGTCTAAAGCGACAAGCAACTGGTCATGGATTAATGACTTCAGGAAAACCCTAGATGACTCGGGTCCTACAAGCCCAGACATCATCTTGGATGCGGACATGCATCTACAGTGATTCAACCTCATCTCGGCATATGCTCACTGGGTAAATTGATGGATTTCCTCTTTCACAAGTCTGTTTTTCTGTTGTTCTTTAAATTTTTAGGCATTCTGTGTTTGAATAGGTCGTGCAACCAATACTGGTTGCTAGGGGCAACATGTTGGAAGGGACAGTAAGGCAGAATGCCTTGCTTGATAGCTGTCATCATACCCTCATTACACGGAACAATTTCTTGTTCATAATATTGATCAGCAGATTGTCTAGTACTGGCTTGATTATTTACAGGCTGTTCTCACAGGAATATTGCTGAGCCCGGTGTTAAAAAACAAACATGCATTATGCATTAAAAAGGGAGATAACTGCCATCGGCTGCAGTGGTATCCTTCAAGTGATGCCTTCTAACAACTGTTGCATGTTTGATGTTTGACTTGAAAGTGTCTCATTTGTCTTGTGTCACGGCATTCATCATAAACATCTAAAATTTTCAGCAACAAAAAGCATGATCCATTTTAGCAGAAAAATGAAAACAAATTATCAGCTTTGGTAAGTGTTACCATGACAAAACTGGCAAAATTACATTGTTCCTGCAAGGCTGTGTGACAGTCACCTTGGAACTAAGACTACATCAGTGAAGTGCCAAAGCAGTATAATTCTATTATTTGTCATTACAGTCACCGGGCAGCTTCTGCCCGTCTCATCATCTCCCCATTAGATCTGGACATCTTCTTCATTACCGATCTTGTCAAAAATACACCAGCAAACTAACATGCCCCAAGTCACCAATGAGAAGCAAAGTTTGGTTTAACTTAACTATCACACATGATATCATTTCTTCCACACTAGATGTGCTCAAAATTACTTTACATATTACAGCTAAATAGATTGAGAACTGATACACATCCATTACTGGAAGACACAGTGTGACAGCAATATGGATTGCCTTGGCTGTGTCTGTTTCAGACTCCCGCCATAAGACACAGGCATTAGGAGGATGAGTTGGAAACGAAACGACTTATCTTCTTGTGTTATTGAAGAACTTTGCAACTCCCAGACAGTCATTTAGGAGCAGTCATTTATTACTAGACTGTCAGTTGTAAAGGTCTGGTCATATATTATAAAACAGTCAGTTGTAAAGGTCTAGTCATATATTATAAAACAGTCAGTTGTAAAGGTCTGGTCATATATTATAAAACAGTCAGTTGTAAAGGTCTGGTCATATATTATAAAACAGTCAGTTGTAAAGGTCTGGTCATATATTATAAAACAGTCAGTTGTAAAGGTCTGGTCATATATTATAAAACAGTGGTCATATATTATAAAACAGTCAGTTGTAAAGGTCTGGTCATATATTATAAAACAGTCAGTTGTAAAGGTCTGGTCATATATTATAAAACAGTCAGTTGTAAAGGTCTGGTCATATATTATAAAACAGTCATAGGCCAGTCCATTATATGTAAAGGTTGACCAGTTCTCGTGCAATGGGAGCTGCAAGGCCAGCTCAGAATACTTGCAGGCTTCCAGTCAAGGCAATAGATACTGTGGACTTACTGAGCAATGCAGCGCCGTAGAGGCGGACTGGAAGTGTCAGGTATTTGCCCTCCTCTGTCTCGAAGGAGATGTCAAACAGATGAGCAGGAAACACCAAGGCCTGAAACAGTCAACGGAAATATCAACAGCAACACCATACAGCACTGACTTACAGCAACATCAACGCCAGCAACATACAGCAACAACATACAGCACTGACTTACAGCAACATAATATCATCCAGCAACATACAGCAACAACACACTGCACTGACTTACAGCAACACCAACACAATATCATTCAGCAACATACAGCAACAACATACCGCATTGACTTACAGCAACACCAACTCAATATCATCCAGCAACATACAGCAACAACATACCGCACTGACTTACAGCAACACCAACACAATATCATTCAGCAACATACAGCAACAACATACCGCACTGACTTACAGCAACACCAACACAATATCATCCAGCAACATACAGCAACAACATACCGCACTGACTTACAGCAACAGCAACACAATATCATCCAGCAACATACAGCAAACCAAACATACCCAGCTGACTTACAGCAACACCAACACAATATCATTCAGCAACATACAGCAACAACATACCGCACTGACTTACAGCAACACCAACTCAATATCATCCAGCAACATACAGCAACACCATACCGCACTGACTTACAGCAACATTAACACAATATCATTCAGCAACATACAGCAACACCATACCGCACTGACTTACAGCAACACCAACACAATATCATTCAGCAACATACAGCAACACCATACCGCATTGACTTACAGCAACACCAACACAATATCATCCAGCAACACCATACCCAATGACTTACAGCAACATTAACACAATATCATCCAGCAGCAACAGACAGTTACTATCAGGTCTTGGACCAGTTCCTCAAGTACCCAAACTGGTTAAAAACTTCCACTTCCCACATTCAGAATAAATTACCCCAACCCATTTCGTCACATTACTTGTCACATATAACTGATACTCCAAAAACAGAACCAAAATAAAGGAAAAAAATGACAGTTTATATTCATTCTTCAATCCCATAACTGAGAATGACAAAAGATTTTGTATAACATTGTCAACGATTGGTGCATTTACGCAGGGGTGTGTTGCTCTCCATTTGGAATGGTGTCAGCGCAAATACAAGCGTAATCCGAAATATACAAGTTACATCTACATGAGGTTGTGCAGGCATTAGAGTGACTTTTGACCAAACTATTGTATTGTATAGGCACTGTTCCAAATGGTCAACATAATCAAATGTGTTTTTATTGGCAGGTTTTCTGAAGCTAGCTCAATGAGAAAAACAAATATTCTGATATTGGGTTGCTGCTAAATATGATCTACTGGACAAAGAGGAACACAAGAAAACAATGAAATTACAGCAAGAGATGACAGTTGAAGGTTCACCACATCAACAAGAGCAGTCATCCAGACGCAGCAGTACACACAGTGTTTGTTAGACCACTTACCCAGAGGGCGATGATGGTGAACATGGCAGCCAGTAGACACTGCCATACTCGCAGACCTTGGGGCAGGCGGATATACAGCTGGTCACTGTGACCCAGGATCTGACTTAACTGAAACACAGGGAAACTGAACTGAGCATTTGTTAGCAAACATCAGAGGTTAATACACACTACTGCCCTGGATAATATATCTCATGATCATCATTTGAACATTTTATGTGCACTTAAATTTTTGTATGAATGTTTTTATTTGAAAATTTGCCCGAAGTGGTCAGTAAGGAGGACAGGGTCTGTGGCAACGATGAAGTGAAAGTACACACTGGTTTGCGATTTTTTTATTTAAAAACTACCTAAGGCTTTGAAGGTTTGGGTATTATTTAGTGGGAGAGTGTTTGTTGTGTTTCAATTGACTGTTAGTGTTCAGTGAAGTCAGGAGCACCATTCTGTCTTGCTTGCAGTGTAGTAAGACATGTTCGGGAGCTTCTATTTGGTTGCAGTGACTGCATTTTCCCATTTGGTGTTTTTTATCTCATATAGGTAGGAATTTAAGTTTGTTGGACCTGTTTGAAATTTAGTTATCACCCTGTTTTTAGGTGGTTATTTTGCTACTTTTGGAACATTTTGTTGTTTTGAATGGCTTTTGATTTGCAATGTTTAACTTCTTGGAGTCGTGGGGCCACATTGGCAGCTGGGTCGGCATGGTAATTGCCAAACACACCAACATGGGCATGGATTTATATGAACTACTTTTTTCCCAAAGTGTGTAGATCCTGAGTGCTTTTTAGTATTTGGTTCAATAGTTTGGGTTGGTTGATAACGGTGTTAGTACCTACACCGAAACGTCACACTCATTACAATAAAGAAGTTTTCCTTCATCTATACAACTTCTACAATGCCTCTCAAAGAAATCTCTGATACCTGAATGCTAAGAGCCTCTGATGACTGAATGGTAAGAGCCTCTGATGACTGAATGGTAAGAGCCTCTGATCACTGAATGCTAAGAGCCTCTGATCACTGAATGCTAAGAGCCTCTGATGACTGAATGGTAAGAGCCTCTGATCACTGAATGCTAAGAGCCTCTGATCACTGAATGGTAAGAGCCTCTGATCACTGAATGGTAAGAGACTCTGATACCTGAATGCTAGAGACTCTAATGACTGAATGCTAGAGACTCTAATGACTGAATGCTAAGAGCCTCTGATGACTGAATGGTAAGAGCCTCTGATACCTGAATGCTAAGAGCCTCTAATGACTGAATGCTAGAGACTCTCAGGTGATATGACTCTGTTTCTCATGATATGAATCCAGTTCACAAGAAGTCTGTGTGTAAGAGTGACTGAGTCGGGTTCCATGTCGCTCTGAGCGGTATTCCACTGTTGTCATACAATGTGAACTCAGTGAAGAAGGACACCCCAAGTGATGCATGTCTCATATGTTAACACTTAGCGATGGCAGCAGTGAACACAGGTATAGAGCTGACAAACCTAGAAACATAATCGAGACAAACATGGACTTGAAACCCAATGATCATAGGCTTCTGGTATGCCCAAGGGATGAAGGAAATTGTGGTGCCTAAAGGACTTCCAAACTTGTGCCTCTTTGCTGTATTGAAACATGGATGCTACACTGTGAATGTCCCGTAGTTTGAAAAATCATGCTGGTATTCTTAGAGATTACCACACGAGCAAGTGTGTCATACAACTTATACGAAACGAGTGTGAAATCTTGTATAAATACATAAATTTGCACAAGTTTCGTATAAATTGTATGACACACTTGCTCGAGTGTAATAATTTCTATATTATCCATTTTCTTTGTGTATATTTGTGCAGTAACACACGGTAAGAAAGTGTGACAGCCCTGTTCATTGACATCACATTCAATTGTTTCATGACATCATGACGATGAAGGACAGAAACAATGGTAGCTAGGCAAAAGTGATATATATAACACTGGGTATGTTTCACCATATGGGTAATAAATGTCCATATTCAACACATCTTACACTATTAGCTGCACTGACTGCAGAGAATCCATATCCACTGACCGAGCCTTAATGTGGAGTGTGATGCAGTGCATGTGAAGGCAATACATGTAGAATGAGGACAATTTTATGGATATACGTTGTCAAGCAAGTCGACATTAGAATTTATGTCGCCTATACAGAATAAAGAACTTTTATCCATAAAATTGTCCTCATTCTTCGTATCCTCAACCAAAGAAGACAATACATGCAGTCCACATGATGTGGAACATCCCCAACACAGACACTGAAGCTGTACACATTAGTAAATCAATTTCAAACAATTAGCTGTCCTCCACTGCTCAGATGTTGATCATATATTTGATTGTCCCACAGAAATTGTCTTTAGAAGCAAGAGTAATACAAAACCCAAACCAGGAATTAGTTGTCAGAAGCTTCATTCCCCAACACGGAGGCAGAACATGGGGAATACAGAAGGTAACTACAACAGGGACATTGATAGACAATAGAACAGACAGGAGGTATTACACAGTAACTGGAATGTACAAGACATGGGCCCTGAGTGGGCATATACAAGACGAGAGCATGATGTTGACAATAATAACCAATTTGACCAGTGACAGAATTAATGAGATATTGTTGCCAGGCATGCAACACCCTCTTCAAATGGTGGTTAGAGAGCTCAAACATCAGAAGTGACACATGTTGGCAGACATCCGGCCGGGAATCATCTTGGACAATACATCACTGCCTGAAACATGGTACCTTCCATTATGTCTCAACTAGCTACTTCCACAGCACAGAACACAGAGGTCTTCAAGTAAAGTGATCACCAAGTGCTGCTCATATGACAAATGAGATAAAGTCAAGACGTCTTTCCTGGCTGCACAACGCAATCCATCTCAATGCACACAGTACAGCAGGGACATACAGCTTCTCTACTGTTGTATAAAAACAAACAATGTGAAACACTGGGAATATACAGATACCTTCAGAAGGTATCCAGTGACACCTAGTCTAAAGAAACATGGGTATTGCTATCACTCCAGTGAAGCTATTTGTTCATGATCAATGTTTTGGCAATGATCGATCTGTCTTTGTTATATGATTTTGAATCTGTGGTTTTCTTCAGTTTGACAGTTCAATCTTCAGCCAGGCTTGCATTGTCACATTTGACTGACGAGGACAATGCAGTGGCATTTCTTACAGAGGCCTAATGATTTTACAACATGGCATAACATTTCAGAAATATTCAGCATGTTTATTTCAAAAACATTCAGCAACTGTTTGTTCACCAGCATTGTACAAACACTGCCCCCAGGTTTTTTCAGACAATGTTGACTGATGGTCAATGGGGACAATTATTTTGCCAACGTTGGACTGCTTGTTACGACAGCATTGATAACCAAGGTTGGTGCCATGTCTGTTAGTTGGGAAGTTGCTCATCATTCCTGACTCTCTTGAAAATGTCAGACCCATCTCCGTGATTCCCCTCATCAGTGCAGCACCAGTCTTAGCAGGAATCTAGCGTGTATTTCCCAGGACAATTGTCCAAGTGGAATGTGACATTTCCACAGGAAGGACCATATTCAATGTCATGTGATTTCTGTGTGTTCAAGGTGATGCAAGTATGGAGGTCGCACTTCACATTTCCGGGGTAACCTAAGTGCTACAGCTGTGAGTGTATTTAGATAGAAGTAATGTTGATTGTGGGAGTGAAAGTGATGAGATTGAAACCAAATGTGTCAAAGATTGATGGTACTTGTAACTGGTCAAGTCTTTATAGACATTTACATGTTGGAGGAACAGTGGCACATCAAGTTCTTACAGACAACAACTTTTCCATGCTCTGGCATTACAAACAATACTAAACATATAAAATTACATTTGTGTAACCTGTCAGTGTAACTCTATTACATGCCCCTGGTAACAATGTGCAGACAAACTATAGAAGATTATGTGTAAAGAAGTCATTTGGAATCAGATTAATGTTGATAATAACAATTGGTTTCTTAATCACCTAGCAGGTGCTTGCACTATGAGTCTATGACAAAATTATAAGCAAGCCATTGCACATATATACACACAATCCTGAAAGTCTAGTGGAATGATGAACGGAACAGGTGAGTTTTGAGGAGAGACTTGAAAATGTCTTCGGATTTAGTTTTTCTCAGGGAGTTCTATAACTGGGGACTGCAAACTGAGAAAGCACGATCAGACATCGCAGAAGTAGACAGAATCAGGTTAAGTACGTAGAGTTCCACTGGAGGATCGAAGAGCACGTTCTGGAGAATACAGGTTGATCTGTTACTGCTATTGACCATGAGTATCAGTCAAGCTGAACTGTAGGCACTAGTGGTGTATTTCATTGTTCAGAAGTGAAGTTAAAGTTGTGCCTAAATCCACAGGTTGTGGGTTTGAATCCAGATTCACCTTGCTTATGATTCATGGTTTGTCAGCACCAACATTGTCATCATGGGTTTGATCAATGCAATGCAAGTTCAGATTCTGTATCACTTTGGGCTTGCCTCCCGTATTCGTGTAGTCATATAAGGGAAATACATTTCAAAATGGAAGAACTCCACTCACGCAGTTGCCAAAATAATATTATCCAAGATTATTTCAGACTGCTTGATATTACAAGCTACAGAAATCACTGAGGACTCAGGCCTGCTAACATTAATCACAGCCCCCAAACCCAATACAAGCATCCAATAACTCATCCGCTCAACAGCTATCTCACGACATATGTCACTACACAGTGGTGAAGGAAGTCCATGTGGACCCAACATACAGGCATGGCAAACAAAACATTCCTGAAATACTCTGCTAATACAGGTTACAGTGCCGGTTTGCTGCAGACTGATTTATTAAGTACTGTCTGAGATGTGGGGAGAGAGGTTAGCCAGCCTGGAGAATGAATCACTGAAGGGGATGCACTTCTGAGTGAGTGAGTGAGTGACAGAATGAGTGAGTGAGTGAGTGACAGAGTGGGTGAGCATTAGCATTCCTGAGGTTTGCACTTTGTTTCATAATACAACATCTAGTGAGTGTGACTTGGAAAAATATAAGCTATTCAAGTTTACAAAACACTTTTGCCATGCATTGAGCTTGACATATTACTTTCAACTAATCATATGCATCAACAATGAAGCCTCTGCTATAAGAGAGTCTGGCTACTACAATATCTTATGATTCAAATACTGCAAAGGGCTAATAAGGCCAGACCAATTTTATTTCTTGTTTTACGGATTTTTGTCATCAGACAACCTAAAGGCAGGAGGAAAAAAAATATATATATACATCACCAGTGAAAGTAATATTCCTTTTAAATACTAAAAGTAGTTTACTTTTGGCAATTTATGAATTGTATATAGGTCAACAAACAACCTAAATATTGTTTTTTTGTAAGTTTACATTTTTGGCCGAGAAAAACACTAGGATTTTATTTTTTGAGTGGGGAAAATTAATTTATATTTTTTTCTTATTCTTGAAAAAATACAACCGGTGGATACGTAAAACAAGAAATAAAATTGGTCTGGCCTAACACAGAAACTACTGACCTTTGACCTGTGAACATCGCCATCATCTGTTTCGCCAACACCGAGGAGTTTGCGGGTTTTTAATCGACTGTGGAGGTCCCCACTACTGTGTTTCCTGAAACACGGAGAAAACAAGGTGAACACAAGTCAGTTAGTGAGTCAGTTGAGTTTTATGTCATTTTACTATATTCTGGAACATTACACTTTGTGCCTTGTACATTGTTGCCGGGAATCAAAACCAGATCTTTAGCATATGGAGCTGATGCACTAGTAGGCTAGCCCACTGCTGTCTTCAACAGCAACAACATCATCATCATCATCATCATCATCATCATCATCATCATGAAATATCTGACATATCAATGTTACAACAAGTGTTTGCCACTGAAATGGCAATGTCCCCCGCAGATAAAGAATGGAATATCTATATTTACTACTTTTTTATTTTTGGTCACATACAAGATGCCTGAAATGACTGGTGTCTGCATAATTACCCAATGTAGGCTGTCAACATAATTGAACTCATTGGGTGCAATGTTTTATGAGATATCAGCGTTTAAATAAGTTTGAAAAGCAGTCAAAGTGTCGTGGTGACCTTGAAGATATGGTCAAGGTCACCCAAATCGACTGGTGTCTGCATAATCCCCTAATGTAGTCTGTCCCCAAATTTGAAGACATTGGATACAAGTGTCCATGAGATATCGCTTTAACAAGAATTGGGTCGTACGGACGCCGTTGAATACATGTAAAATACCACTCAAAGAAATGGTCACAGTTAACGGGTCCGTTGAGTGATATGTCCACACAAGAACATGACTGAGTGGTTAAGTTGGATTCAGTATGACTGAGCAGTATATGAGTTATATCACTGCACGTCTACTAGAAGTACATGAGGACTGACGTGATGAAGGTGTTGGACCTATATCACTTGGCTGAAACCACGAGCATGGTGCTGGTGCTGACACACCTCGAAACATGATATGGGCAAACTGGGATTTGAACAGACAATTATAGGTTTCTGGTGTGCCCAAGTAATGTAACTGCGCACAGCAAAGTGCAGACCCTTAATCTAATGGGCCTCCTTTGACTAACATCTTGTCTCTGAAATGAACATATTTTACAGAAGAAATGGTAAATAAATCATAATGATATATAATAAAGGACATTCATCATTTTCAGGACTTGCCACACATTTTAGACTTCCATGGACTTTCTTGGATAGATTTGTTTCAGTCAGACTAGGGTCCAACCTATGCCCCCTACAAAGCTTTAACAAAACAGTGAGCGAGTGAGTTTAGTTTTATGCCACCTATAGCAATATTCCAGCAATATCATGGGGAAGGAAGACACCAGTAAAGGGATTCATACATTGAACCCATGTGGGAAGCGAACGCTTTAACCACTAGGCTACCCACCTCCCCTTTTAAATAAGTAACAAAAATCTCACCAACCACACTATACCATTGTTTATATAACTACAAGGGCCTTGATCAGGACTTAACTTATATTTACTCATCTTACATGTACAATGTGATGCTAAGGTGCTGTATTCAACACAAGAAGCATCTGAGACTGGATAGGTTAATCATGGGACTACAGGCTGCAACTGTACAGCAATTTGTGTTGCCTCTGACAAATGGGGTACATATGCCTCTCCAGTGGACTCTCAGCACACAGATTGGTAGTTAATTAGACAGCATAAGGATCAGACAGTCATTAACTGTCCATATCCACCGGCCATCTCACGAAGAATGGAGGTCACTACTAGGTCAGACACAGACCTCTGGTATTGGTGCCAACAGTAGGAGATCCATACTTTAAACAAGGTGGGGGTGGACCCAAGTGGAGAAATAACACTGGACAGAGGGACAGACATATAGTTGACATGTAAGGTGTCTCAGGAAACACAGAGGGACCGGCACTGACTATATGTAAGCTGTCTGGAAACTCAGAGGGATCGACACAGTTGACATGTAGCATGTCTGAAAACACACAGGGACCGACACAGTTGACATGTAATGTGTCTGAAAACACAGAGGTACCAACACAGTTGACATGTAAGGTGTCTGGAAACACAGAGGGACCAACACAGTTGACATGTAAGGTGTCTGGAACACAGAGTGACCAACACAGTTGACATGTAGGTTGTCTGAAAACACAGAAGGACCAACACAGTTGACATGTAAGGTGTCTGGAACACAGAGTGACCAACACAGTTGACATGTAATGTGTCTGGAATCACAGAGGGACCAACACAGTTGACATGTAAGGTGTCTGGAAACACAGGAGCTGACCGACACAGTTGACATGTAATGTGTCTGAACACAGTTGACCGACACAGTTGACATGTAAGGTGTCTGGAACACAGAGTGACCAACACAGTTGACATGTAAGGTGTCTGGAACACAGAGTGACCAACACAGTTGACATGTAAGGTGTCTGGAACACAGAGTGACCAACACAGTTGACATGTAAGGTGTCTGGAACACAGAGGACCAACACAGTTGACATGTAAGGTGTCTGGAAACACAGAGGGACCAACACAGTTGACATGTAAGGTGTCTGGAACACAGAGGGACCAACACAGTTGACATGTAAGGTGTCTGGAACACAGAAGGACCAACACAGTTGACATGTAAGGTGTCTGGAACACAGAGTGACCAACACAGTTGACATGTAGGTTGTCTGAAAACACAGAAGGACCAACACAGTTGACATGTAAGGTGTCTGGAACACAGAGTGACCAACACAGTTGACATGTAGGTTGTCTGAAAAGACAGGACCAACACAGTTGACATGTAAGGTGTCTGAAAACACAGAAGGACCGACACAGTTGACATGTAAGGTGTCTGGAACACAGAGGACCAACACAGTTGACATGTAAGGTGTCTGGAACACAGAGTGACCAACACAGTTGACATGTAAGGTGTCTGGAACACAGAGGACCAACACAGTTGACATGTAAGGTGTCTGGAACACAGAGTGACCAACACAGTTGACATGTAAGGTGTCTGGAACACAGAGTGACCAACACAGTTGACATGTAAGGTGTCTGGAACACAGAGTGACCAACACAGTTGACATGTAAGGTGTCTGGAACACAGAGTGACCAACACAGTTGACATGTAAGGTGTCTGGAACACAGAGTGACCAACACAGTTGACATGTAAGGTGTCTGAAAACACAGAAGGACCAACACAGTTGACATGTAAGGTGTCTGGAACACAGAGTGACCAACACAGTTGACATGTAGGTTGTCTGAAAAGACAGGACCAACACAGTTGACATGTAAGGTGTCTGAAAACACAGAAGGACCGACACAGTTGACATGTAAGGTGTCTGGAACACAGAGTGACCAACACAGTTGACATGTAAGGTGTCTGGAACACAGAGTGACCAACACAGTTGACATGTAAGGTGTCTGGAACACAGAGTGACCAACACAGTTGACATGTAAGGTGTCTGGAACACAGAGTGACCAACACAGTTGACATGTAAGGTGTCTGGAACACAGAGTGACCAACACAGTTGACATGTAAGGTGTCTGGAACACAGAGTGACCAACACAGTTGACATGTAAGGTGTCTGGAACACAGAGTGACCAACACAGTTGACATGTAAGGTGTCTGGAACACAGAGTGACCAACACAGTTGACATGTAAGGTGTCTGGAACACAGAGTGACCAACACAGTTGACATGTAAGGTGTCTGAAACACAGAGTGACCAACACAGTTGACATGTAAGGTGTCTGAAACACAGAGTGACGACACAGTTGACATGTAGGTTGTCTGAGTGAAACACAGAAGGAGTTGACATGTAAGGTGTCTGGAACACAGAGTGACCAACACAGTTGACATGTAAGTAAGGTGTCTGAAAACACAGAAGGACCGACACAGTTGACATGTAAGGTGTCTGGAACACAGAGGAGACCCAACACAGTTGACATGTAAGGTGTGACATGAAGGTGTCTGGAACACAGAGTGACCAACACAGTTGACATGTAAGGTGTCTGGAAACACAGAGGACCAACACAGTGGAACACAGAGGACCAACACAGTTGACATGTAAGGTGTCTGGAACACAGAGTGACCAACACAGTTGACATGTAAGGTGTCTGGAACACAGAGTGACCAACACAGTTGACATGTAAGGTGTCTTGACCACACACAGTTGACATGTAAGGTGTCTGGAACACAGAGGACCAACACAGTTGACATGTAAGGTGTCTGGAACACAGAGTGACCAACACAGTTGACATGTAAGGTGTCTGTCTGACCAACACAGTTGACAGGTTGTCTGAAAACACAGAAGGACCGACACAGTTGACATGTAAGGTGTCTGGAAACACAGAGTGACCAACACAGTTGACATGTAAGGTGTCTGGAAACACAGAGGACCAACACAGTTGACAGTCTGACCAACACAGTTGACACACAGTTGACATGTAAGGTGTCTGGAAACAAGGGTGTCTGGAAACAAACAGAAGGACCAACACAGTTGACATGTAAGGTGTCTGGAACACAGAGAAGGACCAACACAGTTGACATGTAAGGTGTCTGAAAACACAGAGGGACCAACACAGTTGACATGTCTAAGGGTGTCTGAAAACACAGAGGACCGACACAGTTGACATGTAAGGTGTCTGGAACACACAGTTGACATGTAAGGTGTCTGAACACAGAGGGACCAACACAGTTGACATGTAAGGTGTCTGGAACACAGAGGGACCAACACAGTTGACATGTAAGGTGTCTGGAACACAGAAGGACCAACACAGTTGACATGTAAGGTGTCTGGAAACACAGAGGGACCAACACAGTTGACATGTAAGGTGTCTGGAAACACAGAGGGACCAACACAGTTGACATGTAGGTTGTCTGAAAACACAGAGGACCAACACAGTTGACATGTAAGGTGTCTGAAAACACAGAAGGACCGACACAGTTGACATGTAAGGTGTCTGGAACACAGAGTGACCAACACAGTTGACATGTAGGTTGTCTGAAAAGACAGGACCAACACAGTTGACATGTAAGGTGTCTGGAAACATAGAGGACAGGACACAGTTGACATGTAAGGTGTCTGAAACACAGAAGGACCAACACAGTTGACAT